AATAAAAAGAAAGAAATGAAGTGGCTAACAATTCCAAACTCCTTCACCTGACTCATCAAACCAAAAGGAATAGATAAAAAGCAGCCACCCTGTCTGGTGAGGCACAGCCTAAAGTTGTGCATCAGACAGGCTTTCTAGGCCAGCGCTTCTCAATTTTCTTCCCCAGGGGACATCTGGCAATTTCTTTGAATTGTGGTAAAATAGATAATAAACCTGCCATCTTCATCATTTTCAAGTGTATTTTCAGCGGCATGAATTACGTTCACCGCGTTGTGCGATCATCACCACTATCTGTTTCCAAGAGGTTTTCATCACCCCAAACAGAAACTCTATAACCTTTAAGCGATAGCTCCCTATCCTCCCCAACCCCCCTCGGGAGACTTTTTTGAACATCATGACTCTTGGCCAGGGATGGTGCTTCTGGCGTCTGGTGGGCGGGGCCCGGGGAGGTTGCTGGGCACCCAAGGCACAGGACAGCCCTCCAAGACAGAGCGTGATCTGGTCCAAAACATCCACGGCAGAGTGATGCTGAGAAAGCCCGCCCCGGGCTGACTGGGGCATCCGGAGCAGGAACTGATCACTGCACAGATTCTACTGAAACCCAGAGGAGCGTGAAACAAGATCAGGAGCACCTTAGTTCTCTGATACATCCACACGCACATCAGGGGCCTCGGCCAGATTTCTCAGCAGCCACTCCTGGCAGGACTCTTCGTCAACACAGTGACGCTTCTCCCAATGCTCAGGTTATCAAATGGATGCCCCAGGGCGCGTCATAGCGCAGGTGTCTCTCTGGAACACGGGCAGCTGGTAAGAAGGATGCCTGAGGAGTGTGGAACCTCCAGAATGGGCTCTGCCCATGAACTCCCATTCAAAACCCAGAGATACCCCAAGGGCCAGCACAGAAACCCATCACCACTGAGGGCACGCAGCACGTCCAGGGAAGGTCTCCACTCCCACCTGACCCCTGGGGAGGCGGGGCCCAGCCACACGCTGATTCACAGGGCAGCAGAGGCAAAGAGAAAAATGACTCCTCGACAAATTCAGTAATGTAGGGAAAGACTCCAGAGTAGGTGTGTCAGGGAAAAATCCTGTTCGGTTCAAAATTATTCTAGAATTCCCTCGGGAAGCCAACATCTTGGCTCTAGGGTCCAAAGCAGTATTTCCTCCAGCTCAGCTTTGGTGGAGCTCGACCAGGTCAGCAGTCAACCTGCATTCAGAAGCCAGGCCGCACATACATCATGTGTGTTTTCAACGCCGTCCCTCACTCACGAGGCAGGATGCCCACGCTTTGAAAGGCGCTCAGAAACTGAGCCAGCGGAGGGCCTGGCAGACTCATAGCCCCAGTCACACCTACTCTGGGGCAAGAACTCGCTGGAAAGGCAGGGGGAATCACTCAGACCATTTTGTCACTTCTGCCCCGCCTCTCCTCTCCCGGCCAACCGCACCAGACACCCTGCATGCGGCCCAGGTCCCAGGTGAGGATGAAACCTGTCCGAAAACCCTCCATCCAGGCTGCAAAGCTAGGATTAGACACCTCCGTTTCCCAGGTGACCCCGGTTTCTTGGGCCTGTATCCTGACCACTCCAGTCTTCTTCCCGAAACGGACAGGAAGTATTCGTCCTGTCCTAGTCGTTTTCCTGTTTATAGGATATGCAAGGAGGAAATAAAAAGTCCCAATCTTCAGAAACTGTTGAAAACCTTCAGCCTGTCGCTGAAAACTGCCAAGGTGCCAATCCTCTCTCATGCCAGGGAATCCACGGGGAGCAGAGATTGCGAGCATGGGCTTGGGAGCTAGGCAGACGGGCTACCTCTGTGATCTTGGGCAAGTTACTTAACCTCTCTGGTCCTGGTCTCTTCTTACCTGTGGCCTCCTCCTAACAGTGGGAGGGTTCAATGGGAGACTCCAGGTAAAGGGTGCAGCACAGAAACTGACCCACTGCAGGGGCTCAAGCATACCATCAGGACACAGATGCGTAACAGCTTTTCATCTCATCCTGAGACAGCCCGGGACTGGCATCGTCAGCGTCCTTGCTGTCACAGGGACTGAACTTCAAAGGACGCAGCCGGAGTGACGCAGCCACTCCTGTGCACACAAGGCGCAACTCTACCCCGAGCCGCAGCTCTGGTGGGGCCACCCGGTGAGCTCCCTATGATATCACCCCCATAAGGCCCTGTCCACCTGAGGACGGAGACAGCGCCTTATCCTTGCACGGCACGAGGCGGAGCGCTGGGGCTGTCGGGGGCCGAGGGCCGCCATACTTCAGTTGGGAGTCCTGGCTCTGTCTTTCCCCAGCTATGTGACCTCGGGGCAACTTAACTTCTCCGTGCCTCAGCTCCATCACCTGCAGAGTGGGGATAACTGCACCTACCTCGGGACTACCTGCTTCGCAGAGCATTATCGTATTCTTTAAAGCAAAGGGGATGAGGCCTCAAGGTTAGCATGTCTCAAATCCAACCCGTCTCCGGGTCCCCAGTCTCGGCCTTGTTCTTCCTCCTAATTTGGTAGCTTCACTGCCCACCAAGCTAAAAAAAAAAACCTCTGTCCTCCCCAACCCTGCCTCTCCCGTGTTCTCCTTGGCCTTGCTCACTCTCCTGTTCCCTCCCAGGCCAACGAATGACCGAGTCCTGTCATTAAAACTTCCCCTGCCCAACTCCCCAGCACTGCCTTAGCACACACCCTCTTCTGGTCGCTAGATCCCTATGGCATCCTCCTTACAGGCACCCCACACACCAGCCTCGGCCCTCTCTAACCCGGGCTCCCTTGTGCTCCCACCAGAATGACTGCTCAGGAATGCCAATTTGATCATGCTCCTCCTTCAAAACCTTCAATGGCTCCCCAGTGCTCTTTAGCGGGCAAAGCACGGCTCCAGCCTCCCTTCAGCCTCCTCTTCTACCACTAACCCTGCCTACTCGTTGTTCAAGCTGTGAGGAACTTGGCTGCCTCCAAACATGCCAGGTTCTTTCACACTTCTGGGCCAGTCTCTACCCTCTGGCCTGGCAAGTCCCACGCATCCTCCTGGACCCAGATCCAAGGTCACCACCTCTCCTGAGGCTTGCTTTCTTTCTTCCTCCAATGTCTCTATCTGTAGCAACCTCCCCACCCATTCCACCAGCAGACTGTCAACTCTCAAGTGTCCGGCAAGCATCATGCCCTTCACCTGTGGCCCCTAGCCCCTGGCACAGCATCCAATACGTGGTAGGTGCCAAATGAGCGAGCAATTTGGCATCCGGCAGAGACACTGAAAATATTAATCTGATCTAAAGGTAATGTACCACCTTTCACCATTAAAATCGCCCAGGTTCCAAATACAGCATCTCAAAGATGTGAGTGTGTGGCTGGACTGGGGCACAGAACAGGGCAGGACATTCTACCCTGGAATGCCAGTATTACAGAATGCCCCCAGGACAAAAGGGTGGCTGAGGGCCAGCCTCGAGCCCCTTCTAAGGCCAGCACATGAGTCGACAGGCAGCTTTCCCTCTGGCCTTAGCTCCAGAATCCCTTCACTACCACTAAGAAGTGGAGCTGGGCAAGAGGTGAGGGCAATTCTCCTCTCTTTCACGGAGACCTATTCATTGCTTTTCTCAAGTTGCAAGTGCCCAAATTCCCTCCTGGAGGCAAGCCTGGAAATGCACCCCACCATCAGGCCTTTTTCCATCCTCTTACTCTTCTCGAGTGTCTGCTCCATCAAAAGGACCGTCAGCACACCCAAAGCACTGCACGGCTGATACCAGCATAGCTGGAGACTGCACCTACTCCCCCAAAAGCAAAGCCCTAGCCCACACTACCCTCTACCCACTGCAACCCCACCAGCAGGAAAGGAACAGGCAGCATCAAGAACACTGGTGAGAATCCGGGCTTGTTCCTGGGCTTGACTGTCTCCGCCAGAATGATGCAGATATCATAAGCCACAGACACACTCAGGTACCAGCCCTCCTGAGTCTAACCATGGCCTGGGGCTTCACCTGCCATGTTCCTGGCACAGGTGGCCGCTAGGAAGATGGGCACTATGCCAGCCAGCAAGCAAGGTGGCAGCTAACTACGGCTCTAGACTAAGGCAGCTAACTACGGCTCCGACCCCACTCACCTGGTGCTACGTTCTCGCAGACCCCTAGGTACCCAGCACCCTGCTGCAGTCGAGATTTCCCACCCCACCCATTCTAAGAGTCAAGACAACAGCACCAAAACCCACTGGGAAGAGAGATGATCCAAAGCAGGGGTATCTGCCCGCCTCATTCACAGAAAGAGCAATTTCCTGGGGCGCCCTGGGTGCTCAGGAGGTTGGGTGTCTGACTTCCGCTCAGGTCCATGATCTCCCGGTTGGAGGGTTCCAGCCCCATCAGGCTCTGTGCCGGCAGCTCAGAGCCTGCGCAGCCTGCTTCGGATTCTGTTGTCTCCCTCTCTCTCTGCCCCTCCCCCACTCGCTGTCGCTGTTTCTCTCTCTCTCACACACACACACAAATAAATAAGCATTAAAAAGAGAGAGAGCGAGAGAGCAATTTCTCTGGTCAATGGGAGGACGGAAAGAGGCAGGATTCTCAGTTTACCACTGGAATGTACTGGCTTTCTACAAGAGAAGACACGCGGCGGTGACTAGCAATGAACAGACTCCTAAGCCCCAAAGTTGTCTCTGGGTACAATCTTTCTGGAATTTTCCCCTAGGTAACGCACTTACTTCTTAGGAGAAGGGATCCAGTGTTGGCTGGCAGCCAGGAAAATTAGCACTCTCGTTTGGTTTTAACTAAAATGTGGAACTAGAAGTATTTCTGGTCCCCTCCCCCAGGGGATGTGAACGTCAGGAGTTGGACCTCGGCCACAATGCTCCTCCTTGAGGACTGCGGCTTCCCCCCACGTCCCTGACACAACGAGCGGCCGAGTGATCAGTGATCCGAGCGAAGCCACGCAGAAGGGGCGAGTCGGGGGCCCCCGGGACCACCCGGCCCCGCGCTCCATTCTTCCGAGGGCCTCCCGTCCGCCCCGGGCCCCGAGCCGGGGCGCTCACCTCCCGCGCGGAGCGGAGCTGCTGGCGCAGCGCGTCCTTGCAGCCGTAGGGGCCGCCGGCGCCCGCGCCGCGGGGCTGGAAGTGCGCCTCGACGCGCGTGGCGCCGCGGTAGGCGCCCTGGTAGAAGGCGGGCCAGCCGAGCTCCAGCAGCGGCGGCTCCAGGTCCGACTGCTCGGGGAAGTAGGTGCCGGACGAGCAGTCGTGCGACGAGCCGAAGGAGTCCTCGGCCCCCGCCGCCGCGCCCTCCTGACCGGGCCTCTGGGCCGCCCGCAGGATGGCGCGCACCTCGTCCGGGTTCAGGAAGCGGCCCAGGCGCTCTCTTCGCAGGAAGGCCTCGAAGGCACAGGGGCCGCCCGCCACCAGCTCCTCGAGCGCGAGGCGCCGCGCCTCGCTGTACAGCTCGGCCGGGTTGGGCGGCCCGCACGGCGACAGGCAGGCGGCGAGCAGCTCGTCCGGACCCTCGAGGCGCAGAGCCATTGCGAAGTCCGGACAGAACAGGATCGCTGCAGAGTCGGCGGAGCGCGGGCGTGCCGGCAGCTTTATACGCACCTTTGAATCTAACCGGCCCGCGTCCCGGCCCTCTCATTGGCTGCCACCTCTAACGGCGGAATCCAGGCGCTGCGAACGCCACCACGGCCCCTCCCCCTGGTATGCTATTGGCTGCTCCGCCGTCCGGCCCCGCCCCGCGCCTCCGCATTGGCTGCCGGCGGCGGCCGAGTCCAAACTCTGGGGTCGCTCCGTGGAGTTTCAACGTGGCGGCTCCACGGCTGCGCTGATGAGTTGCTCCTGCTCCGGGCCTGCGGGTAGCCGAGCTCTTAAGGGTCAGCTAGAGAGAAGGAGTAACGAGCCCCAGTGACCCGGCCGCGGCGCAGGTAGCGGATCCCGAACTGAAGCCTGAGAGTCCGGCCCCCCCATCCTAGCGCGCCCCCTGCTGGCCGCGCTGCTCCCGGACTCTCACGCCGGGCTTGGGCGTGACTGACCAGTCCTGTCTCCGTAATCCCCTGCATTTAAATCATTCGTAAATCCGTTCAAAAAATACTGGCTTTGATTACACCTTCAGGTAGCTTTTCCTTTTCTCGGCCCATCAAGTTATTGTCCTGGCAAAATCCCAACCCTGGTTAAACCCCACTCTTCACCTACTTTCCCCCGCACCTGGGCAGCCCTACGGTCCTGGGGGAAAGACTACGCAACCAAGCTGTCTGTGCCTTAAATTCACAGTCTCAAGTGGATCCTTAAGATTGGCTGCTAGCCTACATTTCCCTCAGTCACCCTACCTTTTCCTTTCGTTCTTACTCTTAGCGTTTGCTTCGTATTTCACTGAGAAAATAGAAGCAACCAGAGAGAACTTCTTCCACATGCTGCCACCACATCTACCTACCCGTCTACATCTCCGCCCACTTACTGGGCCTTCTGTTACTACCAATGAACTGTCCCTGAGCCTAACACTAATCCTTCCATTGGGGCATTAGCTTCCAGCCCCTCTGCTACTAACCTATATCCCTACAGCAATGCTCTTTCCCGGATCATCAGTTTCCCTTCCTTTACTGCTTCATTCCTCTCAACATACTGATATTGGAGTATTTTTCATCTTAAATCAACCTTCTCTTGACCTTCCTCTAGAGTTTCCTCTCCATTTCTCTGCTTATTTTTATAGCATAAAACCTGAAATCAGTTGTCTCTACTTGCTGTCTCCAGTCTTCCTCCCGTTCTTTCTTGAACTAGTCGAAGGGGCTGTGCCTCCCCTGCTCAACCAAAACCTCTTGTCAAGGTCATGAGGAGCTCCACAGCACTAAATCCAATAGTCAGCTCTCAGGCCACATTTTCTTTGTGTAAATGAGAAAGTAAATACACAACTGTAAAGTGCTTCTTCATAAATGTGACCCAGGAGGATCCAAGAGAGCACGGTTCTCTACCCTCTTTCAAGATACCAACAAACTTCTGCTTATGACAAAGACAAGGACCACAGTCTGGGGCTGTGCAGCCACATAGCTTGTCAATGCCCCTATTGCTGGAAATAAAAAGTAAGAATAACCAGGGTCTCCCCTGCTGTCGTGTTGTAGTAATGTAAAGTAGTATAGAGTATTTTACCAGTAGGAGGACCAGGGTGGAGGGGTGAAAGACGGTAAGGCAGGTCAGCCAGTGCACCCCAAAACTAGAAGGGCAGCCCCGTTATTTATACATGTTACCAGATAAACCTTTGAAAGTAGGGGGGGGGGGAACCTCATATACTTATGAGTTATTACAGGGTTCCATGTTATTCTAAAGGGAACATTTGACAAAGTGAAGGTCATTCCCAACCACCCTTCTTTGGATTTCACCATCCCCCGATGCATTGGATTTCACCATCCCCCAATCTAGAAAGACATCTACTCCGTGTCTGAGCCCTCAGAGCTCCCTCTGCTTTAGGGACCTTCCAGGAGAGCCTTCTGTCGTGGGGACGGGGACCAGGAGCCCTCCCCTGCCCTCCATCCCAGAGATCATCTCTTTGTGAATTCAACTCAGCATAATTCAAGTGAGCTCGCCGCAATGACCACAGCCACACTAGCAGGTGTTATTAAAAGGAATTTTAATAATCTTAATTAAAAACTCTCAACAGTGAATTCTGTCACAGGCCTTGGCAGCTGGAAGCAACCCCAGGGTCATGCCCCTTTGGGGTGTGGTCGAGCCACGGTCTTGGATCGAGGCCCACCACTGCCACGTGGCGAGGAGCTACCTGGAAGTTACTTCAATACAATATCAAAGATCCGCGAGGATTTTTTTTTTAAAAAAGTTTTAAATATATTAGACTCTCTTGATTGCCATTTTTTACACAAAGCTGCTGATACAGTATACAGAGTTTTAACGTTTTTTCACATAAAATACATTTTTCTTCAGTGTTCTCTGTACATCAGTGGCTTCTGGTCTGGTGAATTATTGCGGAGGGCTGGGTGTCTGCAGACTTTTCCTCGGTGCACAGAGCCAGGCCCCGCACTGTGGCACTTGCAATGTTCATGGGAAGCAGGCCCTCTGGCCAACTGGCCAACAAGAGACTCCTATCAAGGAGAGGTCTACAGCTTCTAGCAAAGGGGGTCGCTTCTGGAGAGTCAACCACTGACCGCATGACCCTTCGCTCTTACATGCACTGGGATGGCGGAGGCTGTCCCCAGGCTACAATAGCAAGAGTTAAATGCAGTCCCTCTGAGCATCTTGTAAAAACTGCCCTTCTGGAAAGTGCCCCAGTAAAACCTACTCTGGGAAGGCAAGTGGGAGAGAGAGCTCAACACCAAAAGGTATCTGGTACCAATTGCCAAAAACAGTCTCGTTATTACAGAGCCAGCAAACCATGGCGGTGTAGAACATACCCCCTTGTTTGCTTTCCTAAGCCCACTGACCCTGATCCAACAGTGTGGAGCAGTTCAATCGCAGCTGCATATTTGGTGGAGAATTGCATCCTGAACCTGGGTCTAAGGTTTACTCCACTTCCCTGAGCTCCTGGCCAGGAACTATCTGGTGACAGCCACAGTCTTCAGTGGTCCGGGGGCACAGGGTGGGAGCAAAGGCCAGAGCTCACAGTGAGCCACGTGGCATGTGATTTGTGAGTAGCCTCCTGTAATCAGCCAGGAACTACCACCGGACCTGGGACTCCGGAGTGAGCTGAGCATCTGGTATACCTTGCTAGCGTTCTCCCCGCTCCTTGATCCACACCTGCCAGGAGGAGGCAGATGCATGAGGAAAGGCTTCAGTGTTAAAGGAGAAGTTCCTCACCTCCCATTATCCATTGGTGGGGCAGGGGGACTCCATAACAAAGGAGCACGAATGAGCAAGAGACAGTGAGTTTCAGAACCCGAGGTGCAAGCAGCAGCAAATTCCAGACTCTCTGTTCTTCCACATACTGACCTCAAATCTGCCAGTCTACGATGCCCCAAAGATGCTGGCCTGAAGGCAGCTCTCCCTGAAAGTCCCAGACAGACTTGGAATGCTGTCTCCATGGAACTCAAGAGCCAGCATCTGCGTTTAGTGGCAAATGTTATCCGGGGATGGCCAGGACGGCAGTTTGGCTGCTGATGGGTTTCCCACTCTAGAGACTCCAGAGCTAGAAACCAAGGTGAAGCTATACCAGGATGCTGTCCCTCTGTCTCAGGTGAACTTCAGAGGGGCTCCTGAGACCTCAAGGTATCAGATGCTGGTCGTCAAGGGATAAAAACTGTAAAACGAAGTCTCCTCGCCTTGTCTTGTTCCTCCTTTACCCCCAGAGCCTAACCTAGTGCCTGGTATGTCTCAGCTACTCAATAAACGACACGAGCGAATAAATGAATGACCCTGACCCCGCCTTGTCCCTCAACACCACGGAGACCCGTAGGTTGAGTTCCCAGGTACTCGAAGCCCTAGCAAGGAATGACTTACCCGGACTGAAAACAAGAGCTAAAATGCCCATGAGTCTGCGCTTGGCTGCTGTCGGGGAATCAGCTGGGATTCCCGGCCTTCTTTCCAGCTGGGAGATGAGTGGCCCAGGAGGCAGGAAGTGAGGGGAAAGAGGGAGCGACCAGAAGGGCTCGGAGTGGGCAACGAACGCCTTCAGTCTCTGGCCCCTGAGCCAGCAGATCCGAAAACCTGCACAGCCCTCTCCTGGGAGGGTGTGGCTTCCCTTGGCATTCTTCTGCTTGCAGCTTAAGTTGGCTCAAAAGGAGTTCAGGGTCAGTCTAATCTGAACACTGTTTTAAAGTCAAAGGTATGTGTGTTCTGATCATTCTTGCCCCGCTCCAGCCATGGGCTGACGTGACGGAGAGAGAGACTGCCGCAGAGGCCAGGGGCACAGGAGGCATCACACATCCCTGCCTGCAGTCTCCTGAGCTGCCCCTCCACCCTCCACTGGATCTGTCCTGGACTTGGGGTGGGGCTGGCCTGCTGCTGTGACCCTCCCTGCTCCCAGGAGCCACCAGGTGCACAGTGACTCCACTGAGCCCTCTGCTCTCTGGTCCAGCTGCCCTGCTCCTGGAAAAGCATCAGCCAGGCCCCTGGGATCCAGTTCCCTCTCTGGGCTATGGGGCCATGGAGGCCACAGTGGGGACTGGGGCTGATAAACAGCAGACCCCCTTACTGGAATTGTGGCACAGGGGGGCTCCTCCAGCCCCGGCTCCCTGGCCCAGGGGCCCCTCAGGGAGAATTTCTCACAGGCTCAGAAAGAAGTTTAAAGGGAACCCAGATTTGTCCCCCAAATCCCAGAATTTGGACCTAGGGAGCCCCTTCAGAGCTCTAAGGAGGTAGTTGTAGGATAAATAAAAGGCGCAGAGAGCAGGGAACAAACCTGCGGCTTATGAAGTACACCAGTAGGTTTTGGCTGAGCCTGTGAACAGTACCCAACTCGTGGGCAGCAATTTCAAAGGGGCTCTTGAGAAAATGCAGTCGAGAGACGGTGGGCAGCTTGGTTTTCCCTCCCCAGCATCAGGGAGATCAGGGCTTTGAGACTGTTGGGCTGCAGTGAGGCCCCTCTCTAGCCCCATCACCGCTGTCCTGAATGCAATGCAGGGTGTTGGCCATGGGCGCCTTGGATTTGCAGCCCTGGGGTGTCACCACTCCCACAAGAGCGGGCTGGGAGACCCTGGGCCAAGCAGGACCTCACAAGGGCCAACTGGAAAACTTGTCTCAACGAGCATTTCAGAAAAGGCAAATCTGGGCTGGGGGTCCTGGGCATTTACCCCGGGAGGGGTGGGGGCTCCCAGCAGTTTCTCACTGTTCACTCCGATGGCTCACTCAGCCTGAGGGAGTCTGGCTGACAGAGGCTGGACCGAAATCACCTGGATATTCACAAAGATTGGCCAGGGCACTGGGCTCCCTCAGGTCACCAGAGAGGGTTGTAGAAATTGACAACACAAACTCACTCCTCGCCCTGGAAAGCCCTTGCAACCGAAGCTCCTCACTTAGCTTCATTCTTCCAACACCAGTCAGTAAAACCCAGTGAGCATGATGCTATCCACGAAAGAAAGCAAGAAAGCAAATTCAGTTCTCTCCCACCTATAGTTTTACAGCCTAAAAGAATCCTTTTATCCAACGCACTTTCGGAAACACTAACCTTATTCCCCCTCGCCTCCAATTTTTGACACTTCCATCCAAAAGTAAAATAGGATTTGGATTATCCCAGGCATGGAATATCCCAGGCATTAGCCTGGTTTTCTACCTTGGCCTCTGGGTGGTCACACAGCTGGCCTCCGGCATGGGCAAGGCTGTGGGGAGAAGGCCATTGCCCGTCTCATTGACCCCACATGGGTTCAGAGCTTCCTCTGAACAAAGAGTGGCCCTCCTCTCCTGCTAGATGTGGATGGTAGCCCAGCACCACCCCCCCCCCCACCGCGTGACCCTGGGCAGGACCATGGGTCTCAGCTTCGCAGCCCCCCTCCCCTACTAAAGCCACGTTGGCAGTGGTGATGAAACAGGAGTCTTAGCCTCAATCCTCTTGGGAAGAACCCACAAATTCTCAGTCCCACCTGCTTCCCATGAGCCCAGCTGTGTCATTCCTACACAGGGTTGAGCGTGTGTGTGTGTGTGTGTGTGTGTGTGTGTGTGTGCGCGCGTGCACGTGCGCACCGATATGGGATATGCGAGTCCCGGTCCAGAGAAGCCTTAACCGACAACAGAACTGGAATGGAATCCCAGCGCCCCCCCCCAAAATCTGACAGCGGGGTGAGTCAGGAAGCCACTATGGGGCCTTGTTTCTGACGGCAGACAATGCAGCGGAAGCAGAGCCGTGGGAAGTGATGATGCTATGGGCCGCTGGGTGAGAGGTGGGCTCAGCTCTGGAAAGCAAAGCCCACCTCCCCGCAAGCTGCCCTCTGATGTCTCCCCAGCCAGGGCTGCCGGGTGGGTGGATTCCAGAGACCCCTCCCCGAAGCATCTCTCTCCTCCGTCACACAGAGACTAGGAGATGCGGCAGCAGCCGTGGACCTTCTCCTCCATCTCCTCCATGGGGGCCTTGAACTTCAAGAGCGGGGGATCTCCGCTGGTGACCGTGTAATATACCGAGGTTCCATTGCTGCTGTAGGGTGAAGTTCTGCCTCCGATCAAGGGGGCCTTGCCTTCGCTGCTGCTCTCGCCCGTCCTGCCCATGCTGCTGCCCAGGTGAGTGCTCAGGAAGGGGTGGCTGAGCAGCTTGGCCGCAGCCCGCTGCCGCTTCAGCTCCAGAAGCGTCTGGGGACTCTGTTCCTTGTAGCCACTCCAGGGCGAGGTGGCATCAGCCACGCCGGGGCTGCCATAGGCCATGTTGTAGTCAGGCACCTCGTGCACTTTCCAGACATCCCCGTTGGACAGTGCATACTGGTAGGTGCTGACTGGAGCCCGGAGGCCATTCTCAACAGGCCCGTCCATTTCACTTCGTGGGATCTTGGTAGAAAACTCGGAGAGCAGCACGGGCTTCTCCAGCCGGGGGTTCTGAGGGGAAGAAGGACAACGTTACCAGCCGGGTAGAGGATCCAAACCCACTCCCTGCTTGCACCTCTGCTGAGGGCCTTATTGCCTGGACCTGTCCTCGCTCCATGCTCCCAACCGAGCTCACAGGACCTCCGTTCTGCTTCAGGGGACTCGCCGATCTATGCGTTTTGACAGAGCTGGCCAATCCCCATCCTTGCCGTGAGGACTGGACCATGACCCCAGGCATGGCCAGTCGGCAGATTCACTGCAGGAATTGGTTCTTGGCTGAAACTGGTTGCACAAAACTCATCCCTGGGATCTGTGCCAGAACAACTGGGAAACAGAGGTTCTGTTTATGCAGAACTCGAGGGTGGCCACAGTGATGGAAGCTGGGGGCCTGGGGGAGACGGCATGTCAAAGGGTCCACTCGACAGTGCCGCTGACATAAAGGGAGGCTGAAGGGGTGCACCTTGAGCCCCAGTGTCCAGTCGGCCCCAGACTTTGCGGTGACACGAGCCGATAAATTCTTGTTTTATGTAAGCCATTTCTAGCTGAGTTTTTGGTCACTTGTCATCTTCCTTCTGTATTCCCAGCAAATATCCACTCCAAACAGCAGAAATGCTAACCCAGAAACCCCTGGACAACAAGAGCTTTGAAAGAAGCTGCTGCCTATAAACTAGAAACTAAAAGGTGGCTGTATTTGGTGACAAAAAAAGCAGAGCAAAACTCACCATAAATAAAGTCAAAAGGCACATAAAAATATTTGCAACGCATATGACAGAAAAGGGACTAATTTCCCAAATAAATAAGATCTCTTAAAAGTCCATTTTAAAAAGCCCAACTACCCAGGGGCACCTGGGTGGCTCCGCCGGTTAAGCGTCCGACTCTTGATTCCGGCTCAGGTCATGATCTCATAGTTTGTGAGTTCAAGCCTTGCATCTGCTGTCAGGGCAGAGCCTGCTTGGGATTCTGCCTCCTCTCTCTCTCTCTCTCTCAATGACCCTCCCCACTTGCTGTCTATCTCTCTCTCAAAATAAATAAAAACTTTTAAAAACTTTAAAAATTGAAAAAAAAATATATATAAGGCCAATTACCCAACAGAAAAACAACAACAAAGGACGCTAATGTGCAGCTCCCAACAATAATAATAATAATAATATTCATAGCATATAAACACAGGAGACAATATTCAGTCTCACTAACAACTAATGACATAAAAATAAAAGCAACAGAATATTTTTACCTATCACATTAACAAATATTTTTTTTTATTTTTTTTTAACGTTTATTTATTTTTGAGACAGAGAGAGAGAGAGACAGAGCATGAATGGGGGAGGGGCAGAGAGAGAGGGAGACACAGAATCGGAAGCAGGCTCCAGGCTCGGAGCCATCAGCCCAGAGCCCGACGCGGGGCTCGAACTCACGGACCGCGAGATCGTGACCTGAGCTGAAGTCGGATGCTTAACCGACTGAGCCACCCAGGTGCCCCAACAAATATTTTAAAACTCTGTTATGCCTCAGGGTCGGCAAGAGTGTGGGAAAACTGGCAGGTATGTAAACTCTGCCACCACACCTCTTTGGGGGATAATATCACATCACCCCCCCCCCACATGCACCCCACCAAAAAAAATTGGTTTTTAAGGAAAAATGCATACTCTACACCAGCAAGCTCATTTCTAGGACTGCATTTCACAGATGTATGCTCCCTTAGGGGAGAAAAGCCTGGAAGTCACCATTAGGCAGTGGGGAAATTATGGCAAGTAGTTGTGCTGGAACGTTCCGCATCTGATAAAAAGAATGAAGGCAATCTTCATGCGCTGACTTGTGATTCCAAGAATTTCCATTTCTTGGAAAGACCTCCAAGAAATATACAATTGGGTTAAATCATGGTAAGGGGAGGGGCCCTTTCTATAGTCAGCTTCCATGTATGTGTGTATATTCTTTTTGTTTTTAACGGCTCCTTCCGAGCTACACAGGCAGACTGAAGCCACATTTGAGGCGTTTTGTTTTTTGTTTTTTTTTTTTTTTTTTTTTTTTTTGGCAGCTTGAATTTTTGTATCTATTTTCTTTGCTTCCGGAATGGTCCCTGGAAAAAGACCATTCTTCATTGTCTAAATAAGTGCTTCTCTAACTTCATGTGCATATGAGTCACCTGGGGCTCTTGTTAAAATGCACATGCTGAGTCACCAGATCCGGGTTGGGACTTGAATTTCAGCATTTTTCTAAGAAAATTCCAGACTGACGCTTTGAGTAGCAGGGATCTAAAACCCGGATGCACAATGGCATCACCTGGGGAGTTAAAAACACATATCCATGCCAACCTGAAAAGGCTACATAGTGTGATTCCAACTTGATGACATTCTGGAAAAGGCAAAACCACGGAGATGGTAAAAAGATCAGTGGTCGCCAGGGGGTTGGGGAGGGATGAACAGGTACACCAGGGATTTTTAGGGCAGTGAAAGTATTCTGTATAAAAGTTTAACGATGGATATGTGACATTACACATTTGTCAAAATCCACAGAATGTACAACATCCAGGGTAAACCCTAACATAAACAATAGACTTCAGCTAATCATCATATATCCATATTGGCTTATCAATGATAACGTACCTACTACACTAATATAAGATGTTAATACCAGTGGATATCGGGGGACATGATGAGGGGTGTGTGTGGAAACTTTATGTACTTTCTACATATGTTTTCTATAAACTACAACTGCTCCAAAAAATCAAGTCTATTAGTTTCTTTTTAAATACATCAGTACAGGGGCGCCTGGGTGGCGCAGTCGGTTAAGCGTCCGACTTCAGCCAGGTCACGATCTCGCGGTGCGTGAGTTCGAGCCCCGCGTCAGGCTCTGGGCTGATGGCTCAGAGCCTGGAGCCTGTTTCCGATTCTGTGTCTCCCTCTCTCTCTGCCCCTCCCCCGTTTATGCTCTGTCTCTCTCTGTCCCAAAAATAAATAAACGTTGAAAAAAAAATTTTTTTTAAATAAATAAATAAATAAATACATCAGTACAGGGGCGCCTGGGTGGCTCAGTCAGTTGAGCGTCCGACTTCAGCTCAGTTCAGGATCTCGCAGTTTGTGAGGTCGAGCCCCACGTCGGGTTCTGTGCTGACAGCTCAGAACCTGGAGCCTGCTTCAGATTCTGTCTTCTCCTGTCTCTGCCCCTCCCATGCCCATGCTCTGTCCCTCTCTGGGTCTCTCAATAATAAATAAACATTAAAAATTTTTTTAAATACATCAATACAATGCCTGGACACCAGTCCCAAAGATTCAGATTTCATTTGTCTGGGTTGCAACCTAGACATCAGAATTTTTTGAAAACAAACCCAAAAACACCGCCCCAGGTGATTTTCTCGTACAGTTAAGTTTGTGAACTACTGGTTAAGAGACGGGATTGTCCCATCACTCCTGAGTTCCAGGGATTCAGCTCTGCCAAAAGCGTGTGCCAAAGCCAGCCCTGGGGGTTAACCGGATAGAGTCTTGGCAGAAACCTGACTTGCGGGTCAAGCTGAGCAAATACTCCCCCCCAGATGCATGGTCCTCAAACTCTAGTGTGCCCCAGAATCCCCTGGACGCCTGGTGAAAACACAGATTGCTAGTTAAACCCAGAGCCCAGTGTTTATGATTCAGTACCTCTGGGGCGAGGCCAGAGAATTTGCATTTCTAAATTTTTTTTTAATGTTTATTTATTTTTTGAGAGAGATACAAACAGAACACGAGCTGAGGAGGTGCAGAGAGGGAGGGAGACACAGAATGTGAAGCAGGCTCCAGGCTCTGAGCTGTCAGCACAGAGCCCGACATGGGGCTCGAGTTCACAGACTGCAAGATGGTGACCTGAGCCGAAGTCAGATGCTTAACTGACTGAGCCACCCAGGCGCCCCTGGGAATCTGTATTTCCAACAAGTTCCCAGGTGATGCCGCTGCTGCTGGTCCAGGGACCACACTTGGAGAATGTCTGTCTTAGAGACCATCGAAGCCCTGTCAGTACCTACAGCCTTGAAAGGGGGAGGTAAGAAAAAGGAAGGAGCTGTGGGCTTTGTAGCTGTGCCCTGCGATCTCCTTGGTTTACCCTGGGGGCTGGGACTGATATCTGGGGCCCTGGACCCTGACAGCTGCCCTTGACGCTGGATGGCTGGGCAACTGGCGGGAAGACAGCCATCTTCGGAATGGTCTCTTTCCAGGACCATTCTGGAAGTAAAGAAAACAAATACAAAAATTCAAGCTGCCATCTCTCCCCAGGCCTGAAACCCCAGCCCCAGAGGCAAAATGGCCCATTCTTTTGCCTTCAACAAACCCCTAAATAAACTGCAGTCTGACGAGGAAGCCGTAGAAATTATCAACAGACTCGGGCCACCCCCCTCCCACCCTAATTCCTTGCAGGGCTAATGATTTACACGGCTCCACGCCAACTGAGCACTTGTGGCAGAGTCCCTGGCCTGGGAGATCTGAACAAACACAGTAGGTGTGAAGGAGGAGCTGCTTCCATGAGGATTTAAGAATCTCGGTCTCTCTCCCACCCATCAATAAGGAAAAGATAAGCAGCCCAACAAAAAGGGGCAGAAGAACAGACGTGGCACAAAAAAAGATAACCAGACGGCCAATAAGCACATGAAAATGTGTTCACCACCAACCACCATCAGGCAAACACCAATTTAAAATGCAAGGGACGCCTGGGTGGCTCAGTCGGTCAAGCGTCCAACCCTTGATTTCGGCCCAGGTCATGATCCCCTGGTTCGTGAGTTCAAGCCCCACATCAGGCCCTGCACTGACAGAGTGGAGACTGTTTGGGATTCTCTCTCTGTCTCCCTCTGTCCCTCCCCCACTCTCTGTCTCTCTCTCTCTCTCTCTCTCTCTCTCTCTCTCTCAAAATAAACATTTAAAAATAAAATGAAATGAAATAACTAAAATAGAAAATAATAAAATGAAATGAAATAAAATAAAATAAAATAAAATAAAATAAAATAAAATAAAATAAAATAAAATGCGAGCTACCACAGTAACCCCACCAGGATGGCTCGGATGGAAAGGAATGAGCACACCAAGGATTGGCAAGAAGCTTTCACGTTTCTTGAGCACTGTTGGGAGAGTAGATGGGTATTATCACTCTGGCAAAGTGCTTGGCGGTATCTTGCGTAGCCTCCCCATGACTCATCCTGCATTTCTGGGTATAGAGCCTACAGAAAATAGTGCTGATGCCCACCAGAAGACATGGATGAGAATGTTTTGAGCAGCTTTATTCAAAATAGCCCCACACTTGAAACAACCCAAAGCAGGAACAACCTGCTCCTCCACCAGCAGGAGAATGGACACGTGCGTCGTAGCCTAGCTAAACGACAGAACTTTCCAGAGCAATGAAAACGAATGAACTCTGCTGCTACGTGCCTGTACATGGACGAGTCTCATAGTCAAGAATGAAGTCAGATACAAAAGACCACCTACTGGGGCGCCTGGGTGGCGCAGTCGGTTAAGCGTCCAACTTCAGCCAGGTCACGATCTCGCGGTCCGTGAGTTCGGGCCCCGCGTCGGGCTCTGGGCTGATGGCTCCGAGCCTGGAGCCTGCTTCCGATTCTGTTGTCTCCCTCTCTCTCTGCCCCTCCCCCGTCCATGCTCTGTCTCTCTCTGTCCCAAAAATAAATAAACGTTGAAAAAAAAAAAAAAGAAAAAAAAAAAAAAAAGACCACCTACTACCTGGATCCATTCGTATGCAGATGTGGACACAAAACTAACCTCTACCGTTCCAAGTTAAGTAGTGTCTCTTTTTGGGGAGGTGGGGAGGAAGGACCACTGGAAGAGAGAACATGGGAACTTCCTGGGGGTGATCGAAATGTTCTATGCATTCGCCTAAGGGTACGCATTTATAAAAGTCCATTGAAAAATCCATTTAAGATTTGTGTACTGGGGCATCTGGGTGGCTCAGTCGGTTGAGTGTCCGACTTTGGCTCAGGTCATGATCTCGCGGTCCATGAGTTCGAGCCCCGCGTCGGGTTCTGTGCTGACAGCTCAGAGCCTGGAGCCTGCTTCGGATTCTGTGTCTCCCTCTCTCTCTGACCCTCCCCCGTTCATGCTCTGTCTCTCTCTGTCTCAACAATAAATAAATGTTAAAAAAAATTAAAAAAAAAAGATTTGTGTACTTTACCGTACATAAATCCAACTCACGAAGGACAAGTAAATAATGTGTAGTGGAAGACATCTGAAATGTGATTTGATTTCAGTCTAGAGCTGTTTTCTCCCCAACCCCCAAGCTTAGGGACCAGGCAGAACAAAGCCTCCGAGGTGCCCTCTCTGTCCCCAGCCAAGGCTCCAGTGGATTCCCCTCAGTGGGCACCTTCCCCTGCGGGTGAGACAAGGCTGCACGTGACCTCTCTGCTCCAGCTGGGAAGCAGGGTCCCACTGCGACAGGTGGGCACTCTGGGCAGCTAATCATTTCGCATCCCACCAAAGCCACACTGTCTAGAGATGTGTTCAGCTGCTCATGGTCGGTAGAAGAACCAAAAAAGGCAGACCACTGCTGGGATGGTCAGCCCCTCCCTTTTTTGTCCCCAGCAATTCTGCTCTGGCCCCAAACTTGCTGGCCCCACGAAGCGAGACAGCAGCCATGCATGGAACCTGAGTCCAGTAGTGTCCTCCCAAAAGTCATGGCCAACCCACACCTCCGAATGTGACCTTAGTTGGAGGTAGGGTCTTTGCAGATGCAATACATTAAAATAAGGTGAAGTCACACTGAGTTAGGCTGGGCCCTAATCCAACAACTGCCGTCTTTCTACGAAGAGAAAACAGAAACACAGACACACACAAGGAAGAAGGCCATGTGAAGACAGAAGCAGAGACTGGAGTCATGGAATGCCCGAGCCACCGGAAGCTAGGAGAGAGGCGTGGAAAGATACCCTTTCAGAACCCCCAGAAGAAACCAACCCCGTGGACACTTTGATAGTAGACTTCTGGCCTCCAGAACCACGAGAGAATAAATCTCTACTGCTCTGAGCCACCAAGTTGACGGTAATGGGATACATACAGCAATCCTAGGAAACCAACACAGCATCATTCCCTTAAGAAAGTTGAATGCCCATGGGGCACCTGGGTGGCTCAGTCAGTTAGGCGTCCAGCTTCGGCTTAGGTCACGATCTCACGGTTCGTGAGTTTGAGCCCCGCATTGGGATCTCTGCTGTCAGCATAGAGGCCACTTCAGATCCTCTGTCTCCCTCTCTCTCTGCTCCTCCCCTGCTCACTCTCTAAATAAATACATAGATAGATAGATAGATAGATAGATAGATAGATAGATAGATA